GGACGCCTTTATTTATCTCTCTCTTTATATCTGTCTTGTAAGGGCAATTACTCAACCGAAAGCAAAGTTGACCATCAAAAAAATTATGATTAAGGCAACGTATGAACGACTGCCCAATCAACACCTCTCTCTTCCTATCTCTCTTAGTAGAGATATCAACTTCCTTCATTGGAATGGTACTCTTGCAGCAGCTCACGAATAGAAACCAGTTGCAACACTTTGCGATGATACTCCTCAAAAGTTTCGAATCGAGTTTGTCTTTGCCGATTGTAATCGAGATGAATGGCAGCATCCACACATCTCCAAGTGTTCATGTTCGTATTCAAATGCACTGCTGCTTCCACAGTATCTTCCACCCTGCGAGAACTGTCAAGATAGGACAGGTGTGCAAGTGTCTTTTTGGGGCCAATAAATTCAAGAGAGTCATAAATCGCAATGTTAAAATTAGAAGAATTTGGTTGTTCCAAGGGTCCTGTATAGACATGGAGATGGTCTCTCGACGACGTGGGAGCGGGCACAATACAACCGACAGGAGACGGAGTAACCGTAGCGGCAGGCGAAGCAGAAACAACAACAGAAGTAGTGACAATCGACGTTGACATAGTGGATGGGGGAACATAATCCAGAAGACGTTGAAAAGTTGGAGGAGATGCTGCTGGAAGGGGGAGTCTACGGACCGGAGCGGATTGAGGAGCGGAAGAAGGAACCATTGGAGGACTCCTTTTTAAAAGGCGTTGTATCCGTGCATATCTGAAAAAAGGTTGGGGAATAGGCCCTTTTGTCGGACAATATGGCAAATCAAACGTCATCCTAGCAATCTCCTCATTAGAGAGAGCAATGAACTCGTCCTGCAAAAGGGATTGTAACATCCAAGAAGCCTCCAAATCTGAAACATTTAATGGGTTTGAAGGAAGAGTCTCAGGGGATTTTCGTTTCAACCGCATACTTGTGAGTTTGCTTCTTTCCCAGTCCAAAAACTTTTCCCATATATTTTCATCCTTTGCAACGCACGCAGTTTGGACAAACATTTCAAAAAGCACCTCAGTCAAGACTTTTTGCAGGCCAACCTTCTTCGCATCGTCGAACCATTTGCCAAGGTAAGCGCGCGGATTYGGAGTGTCGATTGTGGGTGCACCCTTATCATGAGGCACCACAATAACAGTTGAAGGATTTTGTTAATGTGAAGTGGTGCAAATATCTCTTTCGCGTTGACTGTGTTGAGATTGCGAACACGAATCGTGAACACGTGCACGTTCAGGGAGCCGTCCACGAAACAGAAGAGGTGCAAGTTCATCTGTACAGATGCCATCCAGCGCTCTCAAAACCTGAGTTGCCGTTTCACTAACAACCGGTTGCCGTTCCTCCCTATTCATAGCGAACGCATGCTCGAGCATTCCAGCTGAACACACATTATCAGTTGTATTAATTGCTGAACTCGCATGCCCATGAACTGTACTTGTCGCAACGGTGGATGATTTCTTTCTTTGTGCAGAGCGTTGGGATTGTGAACATGAATCACGAGCACGCACATCTCCAACAACTCCATAAGTGACAAATTCATCTTCATGATTGTGATGATTTCGGAGGGTCAGCTCACCAATTGGAGTTGAACCCACGAGATTCTTTTCCTGAGGAACACGATTATGCTTGGCTGTAGAATCAATCGCTTGAGAATCACTCGTATCGCTATCATCTTCGTCATCATCGAGCAGAGACTTACCAGCCAAACCCAATGAAAAATTAGGCACAGATTTGTCACGCCGATCATAATCATCGTCAAAACAGTCGACATGCATTTTCTCAGCATCCTCGAGGGTGCTCGCTTGTTGATGGGCACCTTCAACTTCATCGCGCACAATATCATGGCCACCAGTATGTTCATTTTCATTATCCGATGTATCTTGTTTTTTGCTCTTCCTTGATCGCCTTGACTGGGTCCCTTGTTGCCTAGATGTAACATTCAGAGCACCGTCAGTTGTATTGTTATTGACGGTTTGTTTCCTCTTTTTCGTTTGAGCGCGTGTCCCATAGGTATGGTGCAGTTCAGATTCGCCTCCGGGGAAGAAAAAAAAAATAAGTTTACCAAAATTCAACACCGATCAGCCACAAGAGATATATACGACAAAAGAGAAGAACTCATTCAAAAAGTGAGGCGCATGTCCTGGCAACTCGTCCGAAAGAGATATATACGACCAAGGAGAAGAAATCATTGCAAAAGTTCATGGTAAACAACATTCTTTGTGATGAATTTTTTGTCGGGCAACGCAACACGAATGTTGTTGGGATGRCCAACGCGCGACAAAGCAACATACAACTGGCCATGCGCAAAAACAGGTTTGCACAACCAAACCCCGACACGAGAGACAGTTTGTCCTTGCGACTTGTTAATGGTCGCAGCAAACGCAAGACGGATGGGGAACTGCCTCCTATTCCATTTAAACCCGGTGGTTTCACCATCACTTGTTAAATCGATTTTGGGGATCAGTGTCGTTTCACC